AGGATGCGGACTAGCCGGATGAGGTTGCCGGAAATAGCGGTTGGAGGGTGGGACATCGCAAAAGATCTGCCTGCCGGGGTGGAGGCGAGGCCCTTGAGCTGCGAGGGGCTTGCTGCAGACTAGGCCAGCAGCCTCCGAACTGCTCCTCCCTCGGGCTCTGCGCGAGGAAACGGAGACTGTGTGTCAATGGGCTGTCGTCACTCGTACCTCCTTACAAATAACACCAGGCAGCTTTAGGCTTTCATCAAGCTGAAGGTAATGAAAAACAGCTTATTTCAGAGGATTTTGGTTCTTGACACGCTTCTGAATTACAGTTTTCCAGAGAAATAGCTCAAAAAGTGGAACCTTTCAGCTAACTGGGGTATTTTCAGCTAGCAAATGCGGGATTTAGTAAACTTAGTCAGTCCCAGTGCTCTTGACAAACAGAAAATTTTCCCACAGTAAGGCTCCAGTTGCATGTTATTCCTGAGTTAAATACTTTCACCCATAGGCAGGGAAGCACTAATTCTTTTTTTTAATGTTTTTAAGAAAGAAAACAGAAAATAAAATATTCGAATAAAGTAGATTTATTTGAAACACCAAAATGTAAGGAAACCAGACCTGCAAAGAGTAATGTGGAAATTTTACACGATAAATAGTGAAGAAAATGAGTAGGAGAACAAATACCATATCTAAGAATTTGGGGGAATGGGATGAGGGAAACTATTACGCTTAGGTGATTTTCCTCCACTGGAGCAACACAGGAGCTGTCTCCTGAGCAGTCAGGAGAAAGGGCAGTATTTAGACTGAATGTTGACCTCAAAAAATGCTCTCAGTTTGGGGCAGAAACACTGAAGAGAGTAAGAAAGCTTACTAATCTGATCTGTTGGTTTAGAACGTCTAATTTTTACCGTATCCAATTTTCAGTCGTATGATTTCTGATAAAATAGACGGGACGTGGAAGTACTTCAGACAATCTAGGTTACATCAGCCTTACCTTCTAGATAATATAAAAGGAGATAATCTCTGTTTCAGTTTCCTGAAAAATTCTGTAGAGCTAGTGCACACCACACATTTTGAGATACTCAGGAGGTGTTTCTGGAAAAAATGAGAGGGCATTTCAAGTGTATGTTATTTCGGTGTCCCTAACCCAAAAGGCGTTGTGCTGTGGTGTGGAGCGGGAGGGATCAAAGGATCAAAGTCTATATTTCACCAGAACATCCAATACACAATAGGTACCTCAATCCAATTCGAACTTCACAGCATTTTATACTTCATTTAATGTTTTTGAATGTTAGATACATCTCTATTGAGCTGATTTTTATTTGAAGGTGTCAGGAGGCCAGAATTCTCTGACCAGGTCGTTTTAAGTATTCCACAAGCAGAGCGTTTAGTGTTTAACACCAAATTTTCTTATTTTATTTGACATTACGCAGGATTTTGATTTAGCAGAGTGACGCAACCATGCACTTTGGTCACAATACAAGTACAACTTACTCTTAGCAGAGTAATTGCAATATATATTTGAATCACAATACAAATGTGATTCTCATTACTGGTCTCTTTCATATGCTCGCTGTCCGTGGCTATTCATTCAACCTCTGCTCAGGCTGTAGACCTAACACGCAGCTCATGCTGAGGCGTAGTGTCTGCTGGGACCAGCAACACTGCGCTAGCACAAGAGCAACACATACACCAGCTACTCAAGGACAGAAAGGACAAGGACTCCTGTCCTTGTAATTTTCTAAGTAACTAAGTAACTGCTCATTAACACCTGATAAGACCAAAACTCCTCAGAATTAAGCACATTCTTGTCCAGTAACTGAAACAACCGATATGAATAGTATAGACCAAACTTCCAAGCTGGAAGGTACAAATACATCAGGTCACCGAAACAGTGTTTGAAGTGGATCCATGAGCAGCTGGACTGCTGAGGCTCTCATGCTTCCTGGTGCAATTCAGGCGACACCTTCATCATGATGGAGGAGGAAGAATGAGCACACTCACTGTTGGCTAGGTAACTATTTTTCTCATAAGCATGCAAATTAGTGCGTTCATGAAGTAATTAATCAGAGAATGAACAGTTTAGGGAAGTCTGTTGAGAAGAGATTGAGCCCTTGTTTGCCTTTTACCTAATGAGCTCATGAAATAAAGTTTGATTCACACAGTGCATTGTCGTGTAAATTTGAGAGGCCACAACAAACCATGACACTGTCACAATGCTCTCTTCAAAGTTCCTTTTGTTTGTTGTTCAGGTTTTTATACTTTTTACACAAGAGTATAACTGATTTTGCACAGAGGAGCTTTTTTGTTTTCTAAAACAAACAGTTCTGAGGGACTAGCAGCTACAATTGCAATAAAAGGACTCATTACTCTATTGTGACCCTTTTTGTAGAAACTGCGACTCCCAGCAATTTCTGTGTTCGTCATAATATTATAATTTCTCCAGCCGTATACTATGAGCTGTCGTCTCAATTTTCCAGAACAAGAGGACAAGGTCAACTTTTTTCTTTTCCAGATATATAAGAATTCTTTTCACACAAAAGGCCCAAAAAACCTGTAGCCACCTAAAACCTTTCTTAGCTAAGAAATTGCTATCTGACAAGATAAAGAAAGTGCAAGGAAGCCTTCATAGCAATCACGTTTTTGGATGCTTACTCCATTGTGCCGATATATAGTATTGTCACTGGCTCAAAAAGCATGGGTCTAAAAAAGCATGCTCTAAAAAGCATGAGGTTGGCTTAAAAATCATAATGTGCTCTAAATCAATATATGAGCCTTTTCTTCTTTAAGGCTATAGAGAAAACTATTCCAAAATGTATTTTCAAAGAGTAAAAATATATGTTTTATTATACCTGCCACACTGGCCATACTTTTGAATGCTGTGAGAGTACTTCCCTTTCCTAGCAATGGAAGATACCTTGAATGTCCCAATAGCTCCTATCACTGAAGATTTCCCTCACACCCAACTAGGCTCTCTGTTGCTCTTCTTTTATGTCCTATCAATCTCTTTGAACCATAGAGCAGGAGCAATTTTGCCCAAGAACCTGCCCTGAGTTTCATTAAAATCAGTGACGTCAACTAACTTTATTGAAAACAACTTCACTTCTGTCTATGGGCAGGGAGAATTTTAGGTAAGTGGTGGCCACCTGCTGGCTGCAGCCCTTCTGATAACTGCGACACAGCCATCATTTCTATAAAGGAAAATTCACAAGACGACAACTTTCACCCTTCAAGGAATGGGCCCTCTTGCCTGTCCCAGTTGGCAATAGCATAATAAGAATTAGTCACACGTGGGTAGGGCTTAGGACGTGGACTTTTGTTGTACTGAATCACAATCGTCTCTTCCAAGTATCCTTACAAACAAGCAAAGGATCTAGTTTATGCCTTTTATATGAAACTGTCACTGAGTAAATATAAGGTGTCTGGAGCATGGATCAGAACATTGCCTTCCTAGGTGAGCGCCCAGACTATTTATTCTTTACTCTTCCCTTCTCCTTCCTTCTCCTTTAAGCTAAGGGATAATGAGATTTCTCTGTGTGTTGTTTACCCAAAGAACCTTACCTTCTTTTCTGAACAGCTAAATGGTTTTCACCTCCCTCCACCCCAATCCAGAATAGCCTCTAGACTAGTGATCAGAATACTAAAAGCAGTTTAATCTTAAAGGCAAAAAAAGATTTACTGACATAATAACTATAAGAGGGAGCACTTTAAAATTCTCACACTACTTCTTATACTGGATATGACTTTTACTAGGACAGACACATTGAGAGAACAAGATCCTCCTGTGTCCCTTCACAATAATATCAAGAACCATATGAGTTTGTATTTTATCCTATATAACTAGGACATATATAAGTAATAATTGGCGGTTAAACATGAACTTTAAGAGACTTGATCGTAATCGCTTTCACGTGGAAGTAAGTAAAGATTTTAGTTGGTTGCTTGCGTGATTGATGTACGTATAAGATGAGAATCAAAATTAGTATTTTTACTTTACATTAAATTTTATATTAATCCAATGTCAAGACTATTACCTCAGCCAAAATCATTGCCCAAAACTATATTTCTCCCACCACTTCACCAGACAGCCAAAGAGTCTTCAAGTTGCAGTTTTTTGCAAGAATATCAGTATTTCATTTCTCTCCCGCCTTTCTCCCCTTGCCCATACATTGTATTTTTTATTTGTGCAAAAACTACATTTAGTGAATTTTTTGAATGGCTGTTGTCATATGTCGTCAGAGGCAGTTCCACAACACTGAACTGCCTGCGTGTCTGCCGTTACAAGTTTTCATTCCTCCTTATTCAAGCCCTTGTAAGTAAATAATCAGTCATCTGTTCGGACTGCTGAACATTAATGTTTTGGAAGCAGATCATTGCATTAAAAGGGAATGGAAAAGGGAAGGGAAAGTTTTGAATTAGCAGTCTCTAATGCAATTTAATCTCTGTGTGTATTGTTTCTGTCAGAAATGATTTACCTTTGAAACACTTTGGAAAAGCAAACATTTGCCTTTTCAAATGAATATGTTTGCCTCTAAATGGCAGGACTGC